CAACAGGAAGCCCTTCCAGACCCCACAGCTAAGCCTTAATGCAGACATCTTCAGTCCTGTCAGAAGTCACATTCCAGACATGAATGTCAGCAAAAGGGGTGATCTAGTATGAAGGAAGCCACAGGAATTCGATGGGAAGACACCGTGGGAAGCATATAGAGCACAATTTGAGCTCCTGGCAGAAATGAATGGATGTACAGAGGAGAAGAAGACAGTGTACCTGGCAACAAGCTTAAAGGACAACAACTGGAAATACTTGGACAGTTGTCAGCAGACGACAGGCACAACTATAGAGCACTAGTAGCTGCTCTAGAACTTAGGTATGGAACCCAAAATCAGTCCAAAGTCTACAGGGCAATGTTTATGATTAGAGTCCGTGCTAAAGGTAAGAGCCTGCAAGAGCTGGCACAGCACTTGGAAAGTATGGCACACAAGGCCTACCCAACTGCACCACCCGATGTCCTCAAGCTGTTGCTGAGGGATCAGTTTGAAGATGCCTCGGACAGTCCACAACTGAAGATACAAGTAAAGCAAGCACACCCCCTCTACTATGCAGGATGTAATGACCAGAGCTCTTGAATTCGAATCCTACATTATGTCCAGCACAGAGGTACCAAGGTTGGTACAGTCATCGGGATTCAAGGCCAGAAAATGGCAGCTTTCAGAGAAGTTTGAGGGACTTTGCTGGCACTGTAACAAACCTGGGCACAAGAGAGCTTAATTCCCGGCAACTTCAACACAGGGAAGATGCCACGGCAGGAAATGCTGCTACCCAGAAAAGTTGTTGGAACTGTGGAGTGCAAGGACACATGGGGAGCCAGTGTAATAAGAATACTACCAATAAGTCAGCCTCGGGAAACCAGTAGTGGTTGGTGTTGAGGGATGCCCACCAACCCCCATCGTGAAAGTCCCAACAGCTAGGTGTAAAATGCCAAGCATACATAGTGTCTACGTGATAGGAAAGCTGAGTAGCCAAAAGTGGAACTTTGTCATAGATTCTGCATCTCAGCAAACCCTTGTGAGTATGAAGGTGCTGGATCACAAAAGAGTAAAAAAGTGACTGTGGAAATTAAATGTATTGCAAAGTTGTATTGAGAAAGAATAAATTAGTTTTATTTAAGAAAGGACTTGTATCGCTGAAATTTTTCGGAAAGAATTTCTACGGAAAATTAACAAACAACCAGAGATGTAACAATATCAACTTTGCTCATAGGCATATTGTGGAACTTTGCACACTGTGTGAGACAGGTCATCCACAGTAATGTCCTTGACAGGCCAAGTAGATGGTATCTAGAGATTAGAGCCTTTGTATATTGTAAGAGAACAGCTAGTTACGTGGCGACATTTATCATTTATGGGTTACACTAAGGTTTCCCATTTAGTGCGGAGTGTCGTTTTTAGTCAGAATAGATCTACTTACAGTTCTGTTTCCTTATCAACGTGAATAGGTCAATGGACATATATCGCAAGACATGAAAGTTGTTGATCAATTTACAGATCCAGTTGGAAGGATCTTATGCATGTATGCAACTGTATTTTTGCTTTCATATATAATATAGATTGTTTTCCACTTTACGTCATCTGTCTAGTCCGTTTATTTTCATAGCTTAAATCACAGTCGTTTCCTTAAATTCAGATTTACTCTGTAATTACCCTGCAGGAATCTTCCGTTATAAAAGGGATCTATCTAATACTTGTGCAGAAATAAGTTAACCTGAAAATACCAAAGATAAAGAAATTATCCTAGTCCCTCAGCTATAATTTGTGATTACTCATTTTAATCTAATACTTACTAATTTCAGTGTCTTATAATGTAGTGGTAAAGTACTCTTACCTATCGGTTAGCTGTTTATTGATTTTCGCTCAAACCTACTTGAGGGTACGTTAACCATTCCTAATTTTGAAATGATAGACTAGAGGAAAAGCAACTAGTCAACATCACCAACCGCCAACTCTTGAGCTACTATTTGCTAAGAAATAGTGGAACTGACCGTTACATTATAACGTCCCAACGGCTGAAATGGCGAACATATTCAACACTTTCAACAGTAAGTTAAGCCTAATGATCTAGTATTAAGCCTAATGTCCTAAATACTACCTCTTCCCATATAAACACATTATAAAGTATAGGCATACCTAATTTCTTTGTCTTAGAGCTCAAAAATATCCTATTTCTTACCCTCAATAGCTCCCTCTACTATGGCTGCAGAGCCTGGACATTTTATCCTATCATGTTGTATGGAAATAAGTACTTGTGTGATTAGTCATGTTGTACGGAAATAAGTACTTGTGTGGATAGTCATGTTATGTAGAAAGTACTTCTGATGTGATGAGTAATGTTGCATGAGGATAAAGTGTTTCTTTGATTAGTTAAGTGCGGAAATAAAGTGCTTCTGTGGTGAAAAGTGTGGAAATAAGTACTTATATGATGAGACAATTTTATGCTGTTCAAAATTAGGTATATCTACACCTGAAATCTGATGTTTTTTATCTATGTTTGCACTGGGTGCCGCTAACATTAAAAATTCTATATCTAATAGTAGATTACTATCTATCAACCATATGTAGCATTTTCTTGTTGAACTCACACGAATCAAGAATTGAGGGGGAGTTTATAAACCTGTTCACAGTATAACTGTACGGTGAAGTTTAAACTCATAGTAATCAAGCATTGAAGATGTGTTTATAAACCTGTTCACAGTATAACTGTACGGTGAAGTTTAAACTCACGGGAATCAAGCATTTAGGAGGTGTTTTTAAACCTATTCACGGTATAACTGTACGGTGAAGTTTGAACTCACAGGAATCAAGCACTTAGGACGTGTTTTTAAACCTATTCTCAGTATAACTGTACGGTGAAGTTTGAACTCACAGGAATCAAGCACTTAGGAGGTGTTTTTAAACCTATTCACGGTATAACTGTACGGTGAAGTTTGAACTCACAGGAATCAAGCACTTAGGACGTGTTTTTAAACCTATTCTCAGTATAACTGTACGGTGAACTACCATAAACTTTTATTTACATTTCATCTACACAATTACTCAGAAAAGAAAATAATAAAGATTTAACTGGAAGTAGATACCTACGCCATAGGAATTGAAGGAGAGAAAATATTATTTGAAATGTGTCGGTTATAAACTAAAATAATTCAACGAGAATTGAATTCCGTTGGAAGTTTAAGTATAATTTTGGTCATCTTAGACTTCTTTTTTTGCATAGAACTGGTGACCACCTGCAGATTTGACGTGAGTAAAAGGTGAGTCTTCCTTGTTAGAAATATTATTAATTTTGTAAGCAGGGCAATAAACTTGTTTCGGTCCTTTGAACGAGTCCCTGTAAACAGTTCTACCGTCAAACTGTGCCCCATATGCATGGGTGGATATCGGGGGTTTCACGAGATCTGCACGAGGCCCGTATTCACCTTTATAATAACTATTGGAAGTTGTCTCTGTATGGAACGTTTCTTTAGGGGGTTGGTAAACTTTTACAATCTTACAGGAAGTAGGGGGAGCCACCATTTTCCATGGCTGGTAATCTGAGTGGTAGCAGGTGTCATCGGCCATTGACCAGTGCTCCCTAAAGATAGTAGTACTTCTCTGAAAATAAAAAAAAAAGGTTTTTTTTACTAATTTTATAATTTCAATTGCATTAGATAGTTTGAAGTATATTGTAGCATTACAAATAAACTTCAATGTTTAGTAGTAAAACAAGTAAATATAAATAATTTTAGGATTTGTAACAGACAAAACTTTGTAGCTTCTTTATAACTTAAACTAGTTTATTCTTCTTCTTCTTACAGAACCATAGCGAAGGTTAACCAGTGTTAACCTTCTGTTTTGTTACAACTACAAAGTCTGTGAAAGGACAACTCTGTTTGACTGGTTAACCTTCTGTTTTGTTACAACTACAAAGTCTGTGAAAGGACAACTCTGTTTGTTAACCTTCTGTTTTGTTACAACTACAAAGTCTGTGAAAGGACAACTCTGTTTGACTGGCCTGTCAAACAGAGTTCTCCTTTCACAGATTTTGTAGTTCTAACAAAACAAAAGTGTATAACAAACTAAGTGTATAAACCTTCACTATCACACCTTTCGTTGTTGTGACGAAACAGAAGTTTAACAAGTAAAACTAAATACACAAGCCTTCAATTTCTCAACATTTACAGTGTGATAAACCAAAAAGCCAAGTTTGTAAATCGTCTATTTCAGAGATTTTGGTATTGTTACGTAAGCCGAACAAAAAGTTAAACACTAAGTTAACAGTCAAACAAAGTGTAGAGACCTGTAGTAATACAGTATTTGTTGTTAGGATAAAACCAAACAGGCGGTTAAAATCTTTCAGTGGAAGTGTGCAAACTTTCAGTTTTACAGACTTTGTTGTTAAGACAAAACCAAACAGACAGTTAACAGCCGTAATATTACAGTGAAAGTAGGCAGACCTTCGGTTTTACAACTTTTGTTGTCGGAACAAAACCAAACAGACGGTTAACAGCTATAATATTGTTACGACAGCGGAAGTCACGTGACGCTGGTAGCGTGCGTGAAGTTTCTCAATTATCGGAGAAGTCTGAGTTTGTTCGAGATAGAAGAAAAGTAAAATAAACAAAAAGAACGAGAAAATAAACAAAAAAGAGACTACAGCAGTGGTTGGAGAAGAAAGAAAAAAAACAAGAAGAGAGGTTAAAGCAGTTGTTGGAGAAAAAAGAAAGTAACAAGAAGAGAGATTACAGTAGTTGTTGAAGGAAAAAGAAAAGAAACAAAAAGAACGAGAAAATAAACAAAAAAGAGACTACAGCAGGGGTTGGAGAAGAAAGAAAAAAAACAAGAAGAGAGGTTAAAGCAGTTGTTGGAGAAAAAAGAAAAGTAACAAG